GTAGATGATGTACAGGTGAGAGATAACCTGACTGTGGAGACACCACCTATCCGGATAGAGGATCGGAAGTCGAAGCAACTTCGAGGCAAAGAAATTGCTTTGGTGAAGGTCGCTTGGGGAGGACCAGCTGGTGAGAATGTAATGTGGGAGCGGGAGAGCCAGATGAGGAAATCTTATCCGGAGTTGTTCGAATCAGGTAACATTTTCGAGGACGAAAATTCCTTAAGTGGGGGAGAGTTGTAACATCCCAATTTTTTATTAATTACTTATTTGCATTAATTAATGGGTTAATAAGGATTAATTAGTTGATGGGTAATTAATTAAATTAATTAATAGATGTTTGAGAGAATTAGAAGAGAAAAACATATTAAGTAGGAGAGGGGAAGGAAAAGGAAAAGATAGAAACATAAAGGAAAGAATAGAGAAAGAAGGAGAAAGAGGAGAAAAGAGAAGAAGAAGAGGGAAGAACTTGGAATCATCAAGAACAACTCTCAAGCTTTGGATTAATCAAGGTAAGGGTGTGAAATATCATCATCTTAACAATGTGTATGAATATGTATGCTTGGGTTAGAGTATTGGATGTTTTTCTACAACTTCCATTTTAGGGCATAAGCGGATTAATCGGTAGAATCTGAGTTTTCACGATGGAAAATGAGAATAAGTGGTAGTATTTAGTTGGGAGGATGTTAGACTAAGGTTATAGAACTTGTTCGGTGAGTATCGGTTGGTTTTGGAGAGTTTGGTGGGAGTTGGACAGTAAGAAATTCTGAGTTCGTAGACATTCGCTAGCGTGTTCGCTGAGCGAGCTGGTAGCGAACGTTCGCTAAGCGAGCTAGTAGCGAGCCAGTAGCGAACGGTCCCAGACTTGGACAAAATGTATTTTTGTGGTGTTCGCTGGTAGCGAAGGGGGTAACGAAGGTTCGCTAGGCCTTCACTGAGCGAGCGAGGTAGCGAACAAAGTCAGAAGCTTCTGTTTGCCTTCGCGAGCTTGTTCGCTGGGCGAACAAGTAGCGAAGACTCGCTAGGAGCTCGCTAAGCGAGCAGAGTAGCGAACGTGACAGGATGTGTTTTTCTTTACTGTTTCTATCCGAGGTCGGATTTCTGACTTAACTTTGATTATTTCCATGCTCGAGGCTTCGATTACGCCGGGATATATTATACTGTGGGTAGCCTTATGGCGTGAATCCTAGATTGTTGAATTAATTGAATTATTGTCATTTTGACGAATGTTATACATTGTTTAGTGTGATTAAAAATGTATTGAGAATGCATGAGAACATATTGTGTATATGTGTGCATTGTTTGTTAATATATTGATGATATGTATGATTATTTTGTGTGTGCAATCGTTGTGATAATTCTTGAAGATATGAATTATTTGAATGCATGAGATTAAGATGTCGGTCTTAAGTGCATCAAATTGTTGATTGCATATGCATCATTTATTCAAGAGGCAATGCTTGCTATTTTCGTGGAGACTAGTGACTTGTCCCAAGTCTAGAAGAGTGGGTTTGAAAGCTTAGAGGACGGGCTTTTGGTGGTTATCGGTCTAGAAGAGTGGACCCAGTTTATTGTAAACCGAAAAAAGATAACAAGTGTTGGTACCACATGGCATAAGTTTGCATTGAGTCGTATTGAGTCACATAGCATGAATGTCATTATTATATGAATTATGATTGTGTGTGGACTATGTATATGAGTTAAAATGGATTGTGGTGAGAAATGTAATGTAATGTATGTATGTTTTATGTTATGTACGTATATATAATTATATGCATTGATTATTATGATAATATTTCTCACCCTTTTGCTGTTTTATAATGCTCAATGGGCATTGCAGTTTAGGATTGCTGGAGGTTTTCTTTTGGTGAAGTATAGCTTCATTCTTTTGAGTCGGTTGCTCTGATATGTAACATTGGGTAGCTAGGCTTGTAGAGTATTCTTTTGTGATGCACTATATATGTATCAGCTGATGATGTTTGTAAAATATTTATGATACTATGAACAACTTGATGATGCGTACTTCTATTATATCATGTCTTAAGTAATTCAATGTTCTAGTCTTCCGCTTTAATCAAAACATTAATATGTAGACTCTAAGAGTTATGCTTTACTTTTAGTTGAGATTTACCCCTTTTGTTTTATCTCTTTATGAACATTATTATTTATGTTGTCGTTTCGTGAATAATGTGGTGCGCCTCTTTATACCATGTTATAAATACACTCTGATGAATTTTGTATATGTGATTAAGTGTTTAATTGCATTATTTTGAGGGTATAGAAGGGGGTGTTACAATATTCACCAATTTGATGATATCCAACCATAATCATTGCTTGGGATTTATCATCTAGCTTCTTCCTTAGTTGGTCAGGTATGTGTCTGAAACATAATAAGCCAAAGATCCTTAAGTGTTGAACACTTGGTTTGACTCCACTCCATGATTCCTCTGGTGTCTTATCCTGCAGCTTCTTTGTAGGACTTCTATTTATGAGATATGCTGCAGTAGCAGCTGCTTCACCCCACATATAGTGAGGCATTTTCTTCTGCTTCAACATACTTCTCATCATATTTACCAGGATTTTGTTTTTCATTTCTGATATTCCATTGTGTTGAGGTGTATATGGTGCAGTGACTTCATGACTTATGCCATTTGATGAGCAAAACTCATAAAACTCGGTGGAATTGTATTCACCTCCTCCATCAGTTCTTAACCTACTAATTACTTTACCACTTTCATTTTGAACTAGTAGTCTAAACTTCTTAAACACACTCAACACTTCACTTTTCTTAGCTAACAAGTGAATCCATAATTTCCTAGTGAACTCATCTATGAATGTTACAAAGTAGCTTTTCCCCCTACCGACCTTACTTCAAAAGGTCCACAAACATCTGAGTGAATTAGCTCAAGTTTCCTTGTTGCCTTGAATGGTACCTCTGCTTTGTATGAATTTCTGACTTTCTTTCCAGTGCAACATATTTCACATACTTCATCTAGCACCTTTAATTTTGGAATGCCTTGAACCATCTTCCTTTCATGCAGCATATCCAAATTTCTAAAGTTGATGTGCCCATATCTTTGATGCCACAACCAGTCCTCATGCTTAGTTTCAGACATTAAGCACTGATCTTCAATCACATTCATGTTAATCTTGAAGGTTCTTTGTTTTGATAGTGGAGCTTTAATAATCAGTCTAGTTTTGTGATCAAAAAGCTTCATGGCTTGTGCTTCCATCTTCATGGTGTATCCTTTTAGTTATAGTTGGCCAATGCTGATCAAATTACTCTTCATGTTTGGCACATATAGTACATCAGTAATACAAGTTTTCTTTCCATCTTTCCTATTGATTAGAATTTTCCCAATGTCAGCTGGACATACTATGTTGTTGTCTGCAAATCTAATATTTATGTTCACATATTCATCTAGTTCAGAAAACCAAGATTTCTTGCCTGCCATGTGATTTGAACACCCGATATCTAGGTACCATTCATCACTCTTTTCTTCTTCATCCTTGATTGTTACCATCAGTAACACTTCATCTGAATTTGAGCCTTCATTTTGAGCAAACTGAGCCTCATCTTTGCTTCTTGGAACTCTCTTTGATCTGCATTCAGATGCATAATGCCCCCACTTCTGGCAATTATAGCACTGAATCTCCTTCTTAGACTTTCTTTTCTTCACATATTGAGCTTGCAATGCTTGATCCATAGATGAACCCTTGCCTCTTTCTTTGATCCTGTCAGTCAATCTCAATTCATGTGCCTCTAGGCTTGCCTGCAATTCTTCTATCTTCATAGAGTATAGATCCTTGGATTCTCCAATGCAACCACAATGTGATCAAACCTTGGTGTTAGAGTTCTGAGGACCTTTTCAACCTTCATCACATCAGTAAACATTTCACCATTCCTTGCCATTTAGTTTGTGAGAGTGATCACTTTGTCAAGGTACTGGCTGATGGTTTCCTCTTCTTCCATTGTCAGAACTTCATATTGCCTTCTTAGTGCTTGCAATCTCACCTTCTTCAACCTCCCATCACCAGCATACAGCTTTTCCATTGCATCTCATGTTTCTTTTGCACTTTCATAGTGCATGATCTTCTCAAAGATCTCATTGCTCACACTTTGATGTATCAAGAACATGATTTTCCCATCCTTCTTCTTTAGTTCTTTTTGAGCAGTTTGCTGTTCTTCAGTTGCATTGGTTGTCAAGACTGCTATGCCTTCATTCACTACTTCAAGAACTTCTTGAAACCTAAAGATCACCTTCATCTTCACGATCCATTAATCAAAGTTCTTGCCTTAAAATACTGGCAGCTGTGTAGAGATATTATTGTTGTGATTTCTCATCCTTCAAGAATCTTTTGGCAGCAACTATCGAACCGGGCTCCGCGATACCAATTTGATAGAACTTAACATACACAATGCCACAACAATTGGAGAAGATGCAGTTATGAAAAGCTTTGATGTTGGTTAAAACAAGATGATGAATAGAGAGTATATTCAATGTATGTGTTTTACAATTTGCAGCAACTATATACTAACAACATAGGCCAATATATTTATAACAGAAAACTAATTCTCTAACAACCTTTCTAACTAACTCATTAACTAATTCACTAACTGAATTACATAACCAATAAATATAACATTTTATTTATAAAAAAATCTATTACACACATATATAAACTAAAAAGAAAAATATTCATTAGTTATTTGCATCACAAACGAAAGATAATCACACGTTTTTTTTTTTGTGTGTGTGCGCCTAATAGTCTATCCAAACACAAATAATACGGAAGTGGGGCAGGGTGCTGTGGGTTCTAACCAACACACCTGCAATCATATTTAATTAGAGATAACAGCTGCATCACAAGATGAAGCACAAGAAGTCATTAGGCATATTCTATAATATGCCAATATTACAACCATCACACTAATTAATTATATAGATGAACACTTACGCAAACCACATGCACTGACACCCTTCTTTCTTTATGTCTTATTATGGAGCTACCTTTTCCTTGACAAGATTGGCATCAACGTCTCGAGTATTTTTGAAAAGGAAATCCATGTAACCATTTGGAGGATTAATATCCTCACTAATTTTCTCATATTCAACAGTCCATTTAGCAACAGCAGTGCCATCAGCCTTATCAGTTGCTTCAAGGATGAACTTAAAGACCTTATATTGCTTTCCAATATCTCCACCAAAGAACTTCCAAATTATTTTTTTGTTGTGTTGATCAACTTCTTCAATACTCTCGTGACATGTGTGTACCTTACCATCTGTTGTTATGTCATTGGTACCAAGAACAACAAGTTGCATATAAGAGTGTAACAAAAAATATAAGTATGACTTTCAAAATAAAACAAAAGTATCACAAAGTTGCAATAATTTCTTTTAGGACTAATTTATTTTTCAATATAAAATAGACAGGTCATAACAACATTTCTTTTTGGTACAAAGTCATAAAACTTTTTTTTATCTACATTTGGGTTGATTTAGAGCTCATGCTGCAATTAGACAAACACAAATAGCTAATGGTCACAATTAAAATGTAGATAAAATAGACAGGTCATAACAACATTTCTTTTTGGTACAAAGTCATAAAACTTTTTTTTTAGCTAATGGTCACAAAATTATGGGAATTTTAAGGTTCTACTCCAAAATTTTGCCTTCTTTTATAAATAATTATGAAAATTGTCACAATTAACGAAAATACAGAAGAAAAAAAAATGACAGTTTTGAGTAAAATTGTCGGTCACACAAAACGATATAATATACTTTAAATAAAATGGAGGTTTCTTTGTCGTTGATAATGGCAGTTTTGACTGCCATAAATTTAATATTTTTCATAAATAAAAACATGAATTTTTTTTTACCTTTTTTAATACAATTAAGCATATATTAAATCAATTTTTTGATATCATAATATTTAATTTCAACTACATTACGAAAAGTTCAAAATTTGAAATAAAAAATAAAGTTGCAATTTAGAACAAAATTAACCAAAAAAAAAAAAACACTTAGAAGAAATAAAAATGAACATAAAAGTAGAAGCTATTAAAATTTAAAAAAATATGTACAGTGTTTTAAAAAAGAAGAAGAAAAGAATAAATTTTATCTTCAAATAATATTAAAAACTATTAGGTGTTCCATAAAATTCTTTAACCAATTTTTCGCTTATTTTCGCTTCAATCATTTTACTTCATGATGTTGAATCATTGTTTATTGTCGTTGTCGGAGGTTGTGATTTATGAATTCTAATGTTGAATTGTTGTTATTGATTGTTTCACTTTATGTTACATGATTTCCAATACTTAAATTTATCTTCACTTTAAATAAATTATATGGTTTAATTTATGTTAACTAAGAATTTGTTTTTTAAATTTAGTTTATAATTAAAATAGTTAGTAAATAAAATTTTGTTTTGTTAACATCGTGTTAATTTCATGAATCACTTGAAATGTTGTTCCATGATAGAATCAATCTCAAATTGGATATGGCTATGTTAGTTTTAAAATTCTGCCGAAATCAATTAAATTAAAAATCTTTTATTTTGATTGATAACTTTATATATATTATATACAATGTGAACTTGCGCTATTTAAATTTTTGCGCAAATTTCAAAAATTTTCTTGATTCGCCACAGCACAAAACTATATAACGTGACATCAAAAAAGACATTTCTAATTAATATCATAGGAAATCCATTATCTTTTATATATTAAATTTTATTTAACAAAAATTAAATATACCAATAAACACATGTAAGATTCTCTCTCTCTCTCTCATATTATGCTTTCTTATTACATTTCTCCCTGCTCTCTTTCATCTCATCTCTCTTCTATTTCTCTCAATACATTCTTTCTTGCGCTTTTTTTCCTCTTATTTTCAACAGAGTTGGCCTTTCTTGATATTATGGAAGTTTCAACTTTTACATTTATTCTTGTGCAATCTTTCTTTTCAACTTCTGTCCCCCTTCTATTTTAAAATTCTAATATAAAATTCTAATATATATATAGAGGTTGAACTATGCTGGCTCAGCCCAATAATGTTCCACCAGGTCCTGTCCGGTCCGGGTACCGCGTCGAGCACAAGATCCCCGACATGCTAGAATGATCTCCCCGCGAAGGAGTACCTTCCCAACCACGTCGGGCAAGAGAACCGCCCGCACGACCAAGCACAGCCCTCTGCGGGCGGCATTCCCATGCCATCGAGCAAGACCCCATGGCTCTCCGACGTTCTCGTGTGCTTTCCTCCGCGGGGAGAACAACGTGCCCCTGCGCACGTTCTCCACGTGCTCCCCTCCGCGGGGACACGTCACTAACCAACTGCTCACCTCCGAAAGAGCAGGTCAAGCCCGCTTTCCGGAGATCGCAGGACATGTGGACTAGGGCGAAGACGATGTTCTGGTCTTCACTACGCCATGTAAGCCCTAGCAGTCACCTGGATTGGGCCTGGCAATCCAGCCCAACGCAAGTGACCGTTGACCCAGCGCTGGGGTCTCTCTATAAATACCCTCTTCCTCAAGAAGGTCAGGTAATTCACTTCTACCCACTTTCTATACTTTGCTCTCACTCTGCCCAGCTTCTTACTTTGGCATCAGAGTGTCTTGCAGGTACACCCCCTTTTTCCTCCTCATCACCGGTGAACAGGTAGCAGTCCAACAGAGTGTGGCCAGCCCGTGATCCCCTTCTGATCAGGTCAGATCAGTGGCGCCGTCTTTGGGAACAGAAACTTCCCCGTTACTCCGAGCAGAAAACCAAAGTTTCACCAGCACTCCATGATCATGGCTAGCCCACACCACGACGATACCATGCACGACTTCGTGCTCAACGCCGCCGCCAACAGAAGCAAGCAGATAGAGACGTCACGTCCGGCGGAGACCGACGAGAGAGACGGCCTGACTGCTTCCCCGTCATCCGCAGAACTGCTGCACCAGGCCAACCACCGGCCCCCGAGCCCAGCGGCGTTCCAACCCGTTCCTATCCCAACGGGAGCGGACCCAACGGTGGCCACCCTCTTTGCGGCCATCAACCAGACGAACCAGCTGCTGTTTCAGCAGAACGCACGAATTGGAGCGCTGGAGCGGGAAGGCCCCCCGAGGTCCCCTCCGCGGGGAGACCAGAATGGAGGCTCGAGGAGTCCCTCACCTCAACCCAGAAATCGCCAACCTCGGCTGGAGAGACCTCGAACAGAAGTGGTGCGAGAGCGCACCAGATCCCCGGCGAGACAAGTTCGCGGGAGAAGGAAGAACACTTCGGCGATCCCGACCAGAGACCCGCGCGTCGAACACCCGTTCAGGAGGCCGAGGACCCGAAACCAGGTGCCTATCCTAAACGGCTCATCTCCTCCCCAGTCACCCGCTCTCAGCGACGAAGACGACTACCGGACTCCGTTGTCCCGGGAAATCATGGTCGCCCCCATTCCCCACGGGATGGAGAAGCCCCCGACGTTATCGACGTACGACGGCACATCCGACCCAGATGATCACTTGGAAGACATCGAGGCCATGCTCGATTACCGAAACGTCCGAGGAGCTATCAAGTGCAGACTATTCCCGACGACCCTGAGGAAAGGCGCCATGACGTGGTACAAAACTCTGGAGCCTTAATCGGTCATGTCATGGAGAGTCCTGAAGGACCTGTTCTTAAAACACTTCACAGCGTCCCGACGCCATCCGAAGACGGAGGCCGTCCTCGGGGCGATAATCTAAGCCCCCGACGAACCTCTCCGAAAGTACATCGAAAGATTCACCCGAGAAGTGGTGCAGGTAACGACGTCAGACGAGATGAAGCGCTACCTAATGGAGCAGGGGCTACGCCACGTCTCCAAGTTCTATGAGGCCGTAGGCATACACCGGCCAACCTACCTACAGGATTTCCTCGACAGAGCCGCGCATTATATCCGATTCGAGGAAACCCAAGCAGCCAACTCCGCACGAGACACCCGAGACAGGGAGGTCCCCCACAGGCACCGAGATGACGGAGCCTCGAGCTATCGGCGAGGAGGTGACCGTCGTCGGGAAGATCGCCTTCGCGAACAACGCGAACAACGCGGCCCTGCCGGCCGATTCACGGAATACACGGCCTTAGTCGCTTCCCACGAGCGCATACTGGCCGAATGCGCCAAAATCGAATTTGTCCAGGGTGGTGTCCGCTTCCCCCGACCGACGCCCCCCAAACCCAATGTGGACAAATCGAAATACTGCCGATTCCACAGGAGCCACAGGAACGTGACCGAAGACTGCATCCATCTCAAGGACGCGATCAAAATCCTGATTAAAGACGGGCACCTAAAGAGATACACCCGGGGGGTGATGCCCCGAGGCAAGAGGCCCCCGAGGCCAAGAAAATCGAAGAACTCCCCTCTTCGGACGGCGACAACAGACTCTAGGTCGCGCTGTGTGTCAGCCGCCCCAAGGACTGGTTCGCAGATAGAGAGTTCGGCCTCCCCGAAGGCCCTGACCTACCCAGCGAGCCAGTCCGGCCAACAAGCCGGTGGGAATACTTCGCCAGAGCCATGGTCATCTCGGGTGACGCCACAAGGAGCCTGTCCATAGGATCAGTGAAAAGAATTGAGAGGTAAGGGATCTCAATACCTTCTCCATGATTGTTTCTTCAGAAAGAGTTTCTCCACACGCCTTCATCTCATTAGTGATCAGAATCACTATGGAGATGTATTCAGAAACTTTCTCATTATTCTTCATGTTGAGATTCTCATATTGCTTTCTCAAGGACTGAAGCTTCACCTTCTTCACTGGTGCGTCACCACCATAACATCTAATCAGTGTGTCCCACGCAGCCTTTGCTGTCGTTGAATCTGCAATCTTCTCAAACACATTTACATCAACACATTGATGAATAAAGAATAATGTTTTCTGATCCTTCTTCCTTACTTCCTTCTGCGCGTTTTTCTGTTCATCTGTTGCATCTGCTGCTACCGGAACATAACCATCAGTGATAAGATCTAAAACATCTTGAGCACCAAACAGTACACGCATTTGGATCATCCAACGATTCTAGTTTTTACCGTCAAATACTGGAAGCTTGGTGTTCATGTTGCCGTTTCCGTTCATCTTCACATTGCACAATACACTCAATGTTTCTCACACAGTGTTTCCCAACCCACAGAATAAAATTCTGATCAGATTTTGTTCAAGATTCAACACGAATCTAAGAATCAAAATCAAACACACAAGACCTCACGTTCACTCGTGTTTCCCGTGTTTCCCAATGAATCTGAACCGGAGCTCTGATACCAATTGTTGGTGCAAAGGTGAATAAATGATGAACAAAGGAACTATTCTATTAAGAATGACG